TTCCTGCTGCCCGCCCTGGACCTCGCCCGGCGGTGGCTGAAGCGCTGGGGCCCGCAGGTCGACTGCACGCAAGAGTAGAGTGGCCTTTCGCCGGAGTGACCTTTGGTGCGGGCCCAGTGGGGCCTCCCGATCGCCGAACGCGATGCGGTATCAGCGTCTTGCGCGCTCGTGTTTGGTCCCCCGCGGCCCCCAAAATGAGCCGCGCACCAAAGGTCGCTCTTACCTTCGGATGCACCTCCTGGGAGGCCAAATTCAGATTTTGCCCTGGTCCGAAATCCGGCTCAATCCGGCCTCATCCCGCCTAATCCCGCTTACTCTGGCTCAATCCCGCTAAATCCGAGACCCCCTCCGGCGTAACGGCCCCCCGGTGGGGCTTCATCCTCCTTAGTCCTTCCGACGAAGACCTCCCAGTAGCTGCCTCCTAACTTCTCCAGGGTCAATCTTGCGTGCAGTCGAGCAGGGCGGCGGGGGCCCCGGCGGCCCGCTGGCGCTGGTCGTGGCGCCCACGCGCGAGCTGGCGGCGCAGATCCACCGGGAGGCCGGGCGCTTCGCCGAGGCCGTGGGCTGCAGGGCCGGGTGTGTGCACGGCGGTGCCGCCTGGGAGCCCCAGGCCTCGGCGGCAAGTCGTGGGAGCCTCGGGTGCCCTCGCAAGACCTTTCGCGGCGATTGGCGTCGATGAGCGTCTGGGAGCCGATGAGACAGCGCCGATGTAGTTGGCGTCGGCTGGCGTCGATGAGCGGCGATGTAGCGTCGGCGTGGCGTCGATTCGCGAGAGCCGACAAGACGGTATGGGAGGCTCCCGTGGGTTGCCACCGAAGCAGGCCGCGGTCCTGGAGGCTGGGGTGGAGGTGCTCGTCGCGACGCCTGGCCGCCTCTGCTTCCTAATGGGCCGCGGCGGCGAGGCGGCGGCGGCGCTGGTCCTCACGACGAACCGAACCACCGCAACGCAACCCGAAGGCCCCAAGTTGTCCTCCATTCCCGGTGGGGGGGGGGGCGTCGGGGAACATTTCGGGGGCGGCCAAGGGGGGGGTGAGGACTGGGGGGGGGGTGGGTGCCATGGCGGGGGCCACGATGTCTCCCCAGATTTCGTGCGCCCTACTATTGTTTCAACACGTTTCACGGCCTCCCCTGGGGCCGCAGCACATGCCGCCGGCATGATTTGCGACCCCCCCCCCCCGGCTCCTGGTCACCCCCCTCGTGGCCGCCACCGACACAAACACATCTGGGACCCGCACGCCCCCCATCCGAAATAGGGGTCGTCGGATTAGGTTGGGGTGGTCTGGTAGGTCGTCAGGTCCGCTCGCTGGCCGCCTGCGGCGCGCGGAAGCAGCTCGCCGAGGCACGCGAGGCCTTCGAGGGCTTCCTGCGCGGCGGCGGCTCGCCGACGCGGCGGGTCTACTCCGCGCTGATGAACGCGCACGTGACGTGCGGCGACCTCCCCGGGGCCTCGCAGATCGCGCTGCGGATGAGGGACTCGGGCCTTGCGCTAGGCCGGGGTGCTCCGCCAAAGTTGTCGACGGCCCCCAGGACGCGCCATCGCGTCCTGAGGATCATCGGCAGGCGTCTTTGGCCCCTCTGGATGTCCCCGGAGGCCCAGGCGGCTTCCAGAGGCACCCCCTCGTGGGCCCACAGAGCCCCGGGGGCTCCAACCCTGCGCGACAAGCTGGGGCCCCCTTGGGCCGGCGATCTTCGAGTGGTGAAGGACAGCCGTGTCAGTTCACAGCCTTTCAGAGGTCCGCGTGGATCTCCTGGCTCGGCGCTGGACACCCCTCCCTGGCGCTCGGAGCGCGCCGGGGGCGGCGCCGCCAGGGGGTGCAGCGCCGACCCGAGAAGTCCTCTCGGACCTCCGAAGGTTTGTGCCTATGCCGCTCTCTTTCCTCTCGATCATTGCCTTTGGCAGCCCCCGACAGGCGTCGTCGAGTTTACCACCCTCCTCAAGGGTGAGCTGGCCAGTGGGGACCTGGACGCCGCCAAGCGCGTGCTCGGGGAGATGCTCGCGGAGAGGCCACCTGTGCTCCCGGACCTCGGAGGCGAAACCATATCCGCTGCCTCACGGCCCAGGCCCCTGGGCCGCGACCCCGCGGATACGGGGCGCTTTTTCGCAGGCGCCCCGCGTGGAACGTATTTCCGTGCGGCCGCGTACTCGCGGGCTCGCGCTCCAGAATCCAGACCGCGAGGGTGCGGATACGCATATGTTCGCCGCTCGTGAGGACCTGCGCACCGCGAACACCTTTCTGCGCGGCTGCCTCAAGCTCGGAGACCTCCCTGAGGCGGACGCCCTCTTCGCGCGCCTTCCTGGCTGGGGCGTCGTCCCCGACGCGACCACCTACAAGGTCATGATGCAGGCGTACGGGCAGGGCCTGCGCCTGAAGGACATGCTGCGGCTGCTGCGTGAGCTCGACGGCGAGGGTGCGGCTGCACTAGACCCGAAGAGGAAACAATTGGCGTAGGCATGCGATCGTTTTCTTATTCACTGTTTTGCCGATCGGCGCGGACCCTCGCACCCCCCCCCTTCCCCCCCTGGAGTGTGTCTTGGCTGCTTGGGACGCCTGTGTCGAGCAGGTGGAGTCCCTCCCCCATAGGACGCACTCTTACAAACAGTCGCACTAAGCAGAGATCTGGAGCCAGACCCCTCCACCCCTCCCCCCCTCTTCGCCCAATGTCGAAACGCCAAGTAAAAACACGATCGTCGTGCGGTCAGGAACTTTGGCTTTGCGTGCCGCTCCGCCGGTCCTGGCCCACCGCGCTTCGGCGCGACACGCTGTCCGCGTCCCCAGTCCCGCTCTTCCGCGTCCCGAGCTGTTCCCGGCTTGGCCGCCCCGTGGAGCGGAGCGACACGTTGTCCACTTGCAGGGCACAGCGTGCCGCCGGGGCCGCCGCCGCGACACGCTAAGCAGATGTTCCCCACCGCAGACGTAAGTCGGGCATGTCCCCCTACAGGGGGATTTCGCACGAAAAATAAAAGATACCCCACACATGCTCAGAAATACGGAAAAATTAGCTGGGCGAAAGACCCAACCATACGCAGTTGTGAGTACCGCAATTGTGCATCTTCTTCGGTGGCGCTCCCTATGCCATAGGGAGTTGGGCGGACGCATTCGGGTGGTGGCGGACGCATGCGGGCGGTGCCACTGGGACCCTCGGTGGAGCCCCTTTATGAGGCCACGAAACGCTGTACTGGGTGGGTGAAACGCAGGGAGCAAGGGCTGTGCTGGGTGGTGGCGGACGCATGCGGGCGGTGCCAGTGGGACCTTCGGTGGAGCCCCCTTATGGGGCCACGAAGCGCTGTGCTGGGTGGGTGAGGCGCAGGGAACAAGGGCTGTGCTGGGTGGTGGCGGGCGCATGCGGGCGGTGCCACTTGGGACCTTCGGTGGAGCTCCCCATGGGGCCAACGAAGCGTTGTACTGGGTGGGTGAAACGCAGGGAGCAAGGGCTGTGCTGGGTGGTGGCGGGCGGGCATGCGGGCGGTGCCACTGGGACCTTCGGTGGGAGACCCTTATGGGGCCACGAAGCGCTGTACTGGGTGGGTGAAACGCAGGGAACAAATTGTGTGCTGGGTGGTGGCGGACGCATGCGGGCGGTGCCACTGGGACCTTCGGTGGAGCTCCCTATGGGGCCACGAAGCGCTGTACTGGGTGGGTGAAACGAAGGGAACAATGGCTGTGCTGGGTGGTGGCGGCGCATGCGGGCGGTGCCATTGGGACCTTCGGTGGAGCTCCCTATGGGGCGACGAAGCGCGCTGGATGGGTGAAACGCAGGGAACAAGGGCTGTACTGGGTGGTGGCGGACGCATGCGGGCGGTGCCACTGGGACCTTCGGTGGAGCTCCCTATGGGGCCACGAAGCGCTGTGCTGGGTGGGTGAAGCGCAGGGAACAAGGGCCGTGTTGGGTGGTGGCGGACGCATGCGGGCGGCGCAACTGGGACCTTCGGTGGGGCTCCCTATGGGGCCGCGAAGCGCTGTACTGGGTGGGTGAAACGCAGGGAGCAAAGGCTGTGTTGGGTGGTCGCGGACGCGTGCGGGCGGTGCCAGTGGGACCTTCGGTGGAGCTCCCTATGAGGCCACGAAGCGCTGTACTGGAGGGTGAAACGCAGGGAGCAAGGGCTGTGCTGGTGGTGGCGGACGCATGCGGGCGGTGCCAGTGGGACCTTCGGTGGAGCTCCCTATGGGGCCACGAAACGCTGTGCTAGGTGGGTGAAGCGCACGGAAGAAGGAGGAGTGAGGGGAGGAGGGGGAGGAGGAGGAGGAGGAGGAGGAGGAGAAGAGGAGAGGAACGCGGGGACCGTCTCTTCAAAACGAGGACCCAACACCACAGGATGGTTGGGAAATGTTCAAAAAATCGTCCTCCGATTATTTTTTGACTATTTTTGAATCGTCCTCCTGTAGAGGGACAGGCCCGACTTAACCGCAGACCTTCTGAGCTCCGCGCGGGCTTCTTGGATTTGCTCCAGAGCCCCCTGGCGGCGCCTCCGGCATCTGGCGCGCTCCGCGAGTCGGGCGGGGGTCTCAAGACGGCGCGGTGACGCACGGAGCGGCGACCTCGAGATCGGCA